TTTTGATATCTTTCACAGAAAATGAGATATATTGGCTCAAAGTGGACGATCCGGGTGTCGTTCTATTAGAGGTTTTACGGTAATTATCGTTTCGGGTGAAAAACAAGGAAGTTAGGACTATGTAATGGCCATGTGATAGCAGCCACCTCCCCCATATATTTTAACTTTAAGCCTATTTATCTGGCTTACTGTAAGAGATATCAAAAAGTGGTCAACTGATAAATTGTTTATCATCATATCAAAAATGTTTTATCAGTTGACAACTTTTTGATGTTTTGCGCAGGTATTGAGATATTTGAGATCAAAGCTTATCAGCGCCTTCACTCTAGGAAGCCTTGGTCTCTTTGGGCTCATTCATCTCGATTCCTAAAGAAGATATCAAAATTTTGTCAACTGATAAAATGTTTATCATGATATCAAGTACATTTTATCAGTTAACACATTTTTGATATCTTTCATAGGAGCCGAGATGATTGAGCTGAAACTTTATTGCAAGAATAGTTTCTAAAAAATTTTTTTTTCAAAAATTCCAAAATTTCAAAAAGGCCTCCAACTAGTATAGTGGGTAATAATGGGATAAACGCCTTCTTCTTCTTTTCCTTCTTTTTGTGAAATTCCCTCTAATGCCATCTTGACCCAACTCATTGCTCATCCCCTTCTTCGTCTTCTTCTTCACAGCTTCTTCTTCTTCTTCTTCTTCTTCTCATTCATCACTCCCCTCGTTCTCTGCGTCTCACTCTCTCTCTCTCTTTCTCGGCTTCTAGTTCCTTCTCTCTCTCTCTAAAAATGGTGGAGCAGTTTGCAACAACTCTTTTTCCTTTTTTTTTCCATACCCCAAAAACTATATAGGGTCATTCGAGACCCCTCAAAATGGTCCCACAAAAAGTTTACATAGTAGATCGAATTTCCATGTTTTTAGCTAGTTTTTTTTTTAAACATGAATATTTTTTCCCTTTTCTTTAGCGAACAACTTTTTAAAAATTGAAAATTAAAAAGTTTTATTTTTGCATAAATTTGAATTTTTGGCTTATCCAGAATTTCAATTTTCTAGACCAGTCGGTTTAGGTCTGTGTCGGGGCTAAACTTTTGAATATTAAAGAGTTAAAAATAGATATTGAGCAATTTTTTTTCTAATTCTGAAATTCTCAAAAATTCAATTTTCGGATAATTAAATTCCAAGAACTTCATTGGCGCCGACCGATATGTGGATTTTTGAGGTTTTGAATGTTTTTCAGATTTTCAAAAAATTCAAGAACTTCAGATTTTCTGGAATTTCAAGAATTTAAAAATGTTTAAAGAATTTCAGAATTTTTAGATTTTTTGAATTTGAAATTTTTTCTAATTTTCTAAATAAAGTTTGCTATATTTTCCAAATTCCGGCTACCAGTTGGTTTAGGCCCGTTCGGGGCTAAACCTCCTGGGTTCTGGTCGCTCTCCACCATCTCTCCTGTCTGCCCACCACCCTTTACTGAGGTGAAACCAAAGAACGTCTCCAGAAGACTCCAAAATCAAAATTTCGAAAAACCAAAAGTTCAGGCATCTAATTAGACACAATTCTGATCTATCTGTCCATGTTTCAGCTTAATCGGTTAACTTTGAATGGGTGATAAAATGCGCTACATACATACGCACATACAGAATCTGGTGAATGTTATTAGTAATGATTTATTAAGTAGAAATTTCTTAATATGAGAATTTCGAAAAAAAAATTCTAAAAATGTTCCAATATCTGAAAATGACCCATTCTCTGAATTTTTCAATTTTTAGAAAAAATGTGATACAGAGTTTTACATAGTAGATCAGATTTCATGATTTTTTGTGTAGCCCCGCCCCTTTTTTTTTTTTTAAAAAGGGACCTTTTTTTGGAAGAAATTTAATCCAAAATTTTTAAAAAATTTTAGCAAAAAATTTCAATTTTTCCATTAATTTCTACCTGTAAATTCTAGAAAATTTCCAATTTTTTTTTCTAAAATTTTACTGGAAATTTAATTTTTTCAGTAATTTTTTAAATCCATTTACTTTTAAAAGCTCTGGTTTTCAGAAATTTTAAATTTTCAGTTTTAAATTTTTTTTTTTGGATTTTCCAGATTTTGGAATTTTGAGAGAAAGTTTAAAACAACTTTTTTTTGGTTTTGATTTAGAATGTTCTAGAATTTATTGAATTTTTAAAAATTCAACTTTTAGGCGTTTTTTCGAAATTACAAAAACGTTGAATTCCAAAATCTTAAAATCTTGAAAATTCAGAAATTCGAAAAAAAAACAATTGACAACTTTTATGGATTTCAAATTCTCTAGTTTACAATTTTTTGAAAAATTCCAAAAATTCAAAAGTTCCAAACAATTTTTTTTGAAAAAAATTTTTTCTAAACTTCTTGTTTATTTATTCATGTTTTCACAATTTCTCTCTTTTCCCACCCAAAACTTTTTTCTTGAGAAAAAAAAGAATTTTGTGTGTGTGTGTTTTTTTTTCAAATTTATTCTCAAGTACTTTTTTCTCTTTCCCATCAACGCCTGTGGTGGTGTTGGGTACTTCAGAATTCAGAAGAAGAATTCAGAAGAAGAATTCAGAAGACGTTGAAAAAAAGTATTGAAAAGTAAAGTTGTTGGACTCAAGTACTGAAATTTGGAAAATCTTGAGATTCCTAAAATTCCTGAAAATCTAGAAATCATTACTAATAACATTCACCAGATTCTGTATGTCAATTGTTTTTTTTTCGAATTTCTGAATTTTCAAGATTTTAAGATTTTGGAATTCAACGTTTTTGTAATTTCGAAAAAACGCCTAAAAGTTGAATTTTTAAAAATTCAATAAATTCTAGAACATTCTAAATCAAAACCAAAAAAAAGTTGTTTTAAACTTTCTCTCAAAATTCCAAAATCTGGAAAATCCAAAAAAAAAAATTTAAAACTGAAAATTTAAAATTTCTGAAAACCAGAGCTTTTAAAAGTAAATGGATTTAAAAAATTACTGAAAAAATTAAATTTCCAGTAAAATTTTAGAAAAAAAAATTGGAAATTTTCTAGAATTTACAGGTAGAAATTAATGGAAAAATTGAAATTTTTTGCTAAAATTTTTTAAAAATTTTGGATTAAATTTCTTCCAAAAAAAGGTCCCTTTTTAAAAAAAAAAAAAGGGGCGGGGCTACACAAAAAATCATGAAATCTGATCTACTATGTAAAACTCTGTATCACATTTTTTCTAAAAATTGAAAAATTCAGAGAATGGGTCATTTTCAGATATTGGAACATTTTTAGAATTTTTTTTTCGAAATTCTCATATTAAGAAATTTCTACTTAATAAATCATTACTAATAACATTCACCAGATTCTGTATGTGCGTATGTATGTAGCGCATTTTATCACCCATTCAAAGTTAACCGATTAAGCTGAAACATGGACAGATAGATCAGAATTGTGTCTAATTAGATGCCTGAACTTTTGGTTTTTCGAAATTTTGATTTTGGAGCCTTCTGGAGACGTTCTTTGTTTCACCTC